AGATACTAATTAGGTAAAGATCCGGAACATGAACTTGACAAGGAGAGACTAGACTAGGGGAAGCACATGCACAAAGAGAAGAGACCGATTAAGTAGAAATCCGGAACATGAACTTGACAATGAGAGACTAAACTAGTGGAAAGCACATGCACAAGGGGAAGAGACTAACTAAGTAAGGATCCGGAACACCACACCAAACATAAACTTGACAATGAGAGGCTAGACTAGTGGAAGGCACATGCACATGAAGGGAAGACCAACCGGAACATCACACCAAGTATGAACATAACAATGAGTGGCTAGACTAATGAAAAACACATGCATATGAAGGGAAGATCAACCGGAACATCACATCAAACATAAACTTGACAATGAGAGACTAGACTAGTGGAAAGCACATACACAAGGAGAAGAGATTAACAAAGTAAAGATCCGGAACATCTCATCAACATGAACTTGACAATGAGAGGCTAGATTAGTAGAAAGCACATGCACAAAGAGAAAAGATCAACAAGGTAAAGATCCGGAACATCACACCCAACATGAACTTGACAATGAGAGACACACCAAGTATGAACATAACAATGAGTGGCTAGACTAATGAAAAACACATGCATATGAAGGGAAGATTAACCGGAACATCACATTAAACATAAACTTGACAATGAGAGACTAGACTAGTGGAAAGCACATGCACAAGGAGAAGAGATTAACAAAGTAAAGATCCGGAACATCTCATCAACATGAACTTGACAATGAGAGGCTAGATTCGTGGAAAGCACATTCACAAAGAGAAAAGATCAACTAGGTAAAGATCCGGAACATCACACCCAACATGAACTTGACAATGAGAGGCTAAACTAGGGGAAGCACATGCACAAAGAGAAGAGACCGATTAAGTACAGATCCGGAACATGAACTTGACAATCATCCGGAACATCACATTACGTATCAACATGACAATGAGTGGCTAGGACTAAAGGAAAGTACATTCACATGAAGGGAAGATCATCCGGAACATCACACTAAGTATGAACATGACAATGAGTGACTAAAACTTATGGAAAGCACATGCACATGAAGGGAAGATCATCCGGATCATCACACTAAGTATGAACATGACAATGAGTGGCTAGACTAATGAAAAACACATGTACATGAAGGGAAGATCATCCGAAACATCACATTAAGTATGAACATGACAATGAGTGACTAGACTAATGAAAAAGCACATGCACATGAAGGGAAGATCAATTTGAACATCACACCAAGTATGAACATGACAATGAGTGGCTAGACTAATGAAAAACACATGTTCATGAAAGGAAGATCATCCGGAACATCACATTAAGTATGAACATGACAATGAGTGGCTAGACTAATGAAAAAACACATGCACATGGAGGGAAGATCAACCAGAACATCACACCAAGTATGAACATGACAATGAGTGGCTAGACTAATGAAAAACACATGCACATGAAGGGAAGATCAACCGGAACATCACATGCTATCATGTGAGTTAAAACAAGAGTCTAAGTGGGCCAGATCACGAAGGTTGAACCAGGGGTCATCCATGAATGTAGCGCTATACTACCTACTAGTGTGAGAGTGAAAAACACAAGTTTGAAAATCCTAAATCACCAAGATTGTATCAAGAATCATCCATGGGTGAAGCGCTATACTACCTACTAGTGTGAGTGTGAAAATCACAAGTTTGGAGAGTCCAAATCACCAAGATTGCATCAAGGAGCATCCATGAATGTAGCGCTGTACTATCTACTAGTGGAAGGTACATGCACAAAGAGAAGAGATCAACAAAGTAAAGATCCGAAATTTTCACATCAAACATAAACTTGACAACGAGAGGCTTAGACTAGTGGAAGCATATGCAAAAGAGAAGAGATCGACTAAGCGAGGATCCGGGACATCACAATGAACTTGACAATAAGAGGCTAGACTAGCGGAAGTATATGCACAAGGAGAAGGGATCAACTAAGCAAAGATCCGGAACATGAACTTGACAAAGAGAGGTTAGACTAGTTAAAGCACATGCACAAAGAGAA